CCCGCGCCACGAAATCTGCACTTCCTCTCCAAAACCCGCGCCTGCCACGAAATCAACATTTTAGTGTGAACTCCCTGCCGCAAAAAAACCCTGCTAACCAACCAACCAACAGCCACCTGCCAGCGGCGCCAGCAGCAACCAACCATCTGACCACAACGTAGCATCCCTTGTGTGGGCCATCCGAGGTTAAAATTTAGAATAGGAAGAAGCCTATTGCAACGTGGCATGCCTTTTGTGGGCCACAGATACAGTTTAGAGTAGGAAAAAAGCCATTGCAACGTAGCATGCCTTTTGTGGGTAAAAGAAGCCATTGCAACGTAGCGTGCCTTTTGTGGGCCACCCGAGGGTAAAATTTAGAGCAGGAAGGAGCCATTACAACGAAGCATTTCTTTTTGTGAGCCACCCGATGGTAAATTTTAGAGTAGGAAGGAGCCATTACAACGATTTACAACGTAGCATTCCTTTGATGGGCCATTCGAAAGTAAAATTTAGAAAAGGAAGAAGCCATTGCAACGTAGCATGCCTTTTGTGGGCCACCCGAGGGTAAAATTTACAGCCGGAAGGAGCCATTATATTACACTGAAGCATTCCTGTTATGGGCCATTTGAAGGTGAAATTTAGAATAGGAAGGAGCCATTACAACGCAGCATTAGTTCGAATTCGACTTCGAATCGACGATAATTTTTTCACTCCGGGGGGGGAACTAGTTCGAGTTTGAGTTCGAATTCCAATCGACGACAATTTTGACGCCCGGAGGGGGGGAAACGCAGTTCGAGTTCGAGATCAAATTTCGAATCGACGACAATTTTGACACCGGGGGGGGGACCAGTTCGAGTTCGAGTTCGAATTCGAATTCGAATCGACGACAGCGATTTTGGAGTTCGACTCTTTCTATTCGTCCACTGGGTTGACTTCTAACAGTTCCAGTTCGAGTTCGAGATCGAGTTCGAGATCGAGTTCGAGTTCGAGTTCGGTTCCTTCCATATATATCCTTTCAAGGTTAAGTTCATCAATACTGTATAACTGTTTCAGTTCGAGTTCGAGTTCGAGTTCGAGCGGGGCACACTATGGGTGCTGCAGTGCTGTGGCTTGTTTCAGCCAATGTGGCTCTTGTCCGTTTGGAGAGAGCTGATTCCAAAGGTTGCGCAGGTCGTCTTGACCTCGTGGTGCTAAGGCTTTTGGGAAGGTCCCCAAAGCGCTGGTGTAGTGTCTGCACCGTGGTGTGTTGGTGCATGTGTGTTGGGCTATCGATCCTGACGTGGATCGTCGTCGGATCCCGTGACGCTGCTGCTGGCGTCGAAGGTGCTGCTGCCGCCAGTGTTGCTGGTACAGCCATTGTTGGTGTTGGTGGTGGCGGTGCTGCACTATAGTCGACGGTTTCCTCGAGTTCTGCTCCTTGGGTCAATGCAGACTCGGGTGGAGGTTCTCCTCTCTCATCCTCGAGCATCTGAGGGCCAAAGTCTTTGCTCGCATCCTTGAGGGCCTTCAGATCTTGCTCATCGGGCCACCAATCTTCAAACCCGTGAGCTGCCCGTAGTTGCTTTGAAGTGACCAGGGTAGTTGAAGCTCCCAGTCGAACCCACGCTTGTCTTCCTGGGTATTGAGGATCCCAGGACAGGAACCTGGCAGTAAGCCATGCTCCTCGCTTGCGCACTCCCTTCTTTGTCCACCTCCAAACTGCGCAGCGTTGTCCAGGAAGCAGTTCTGGTACTTTGACATTGCGAGTCTTTCGAAGCAATGCTCGCCTGAACTGTTGTTGGGCGTTCAGGTCGATGAGGGCCTTCATAGCCTCGCTTCTCACCAGTTCTGCCCGGAGTCCAGGGTTGTCAACGTCCCGGAAGGGCTGTGTGGAGGTGCTCAGGACCTGGGTGTCAGTGAGGACGTCGTCAGGTAGTCGTGATGTCCTGCCAAAGACTGCCTGGTAGCCGGACCTGCCTCGAGTGAAGGGCAGTGAGTTGATGCTATGGCAAGCTTGGGTGAGCACAGTCGGGACTTGGTCCAAAGAAACCACTCCAAGCTGGTCAATGACCTTCTCCAGAGTGAGTCGGAGGATGGCGTTGCGCCGTTCGACCATGCCGATGATGTAGTGTGCCTCCGGTGGACAGTGTTCAACCATCACGCCCATGGCCATGAGGCGTTGCTCAAACTGACCTCGGAAGGTGTGATCTGGGTCGCACACAAAGCGAAGTGGTAGTCCAAAAGGTCGAAGCCAGATGTCGGAGAGCACTTGGAACGCCGTGGTGGCGTTCCGGTCAGGCATGTATCCAGCCTGATGGAAGCCTGTCGCCTTGTCGACGATTCCGAGGACGGCAAAAGATGTTCCGTCCAGCAGCCGTGCATAGAAGATGTCGGCTTGCACTTCATCAGCAAATTGGCCTGCAGTCAAACTTGGATGCAGGTCGTGGTTCTTGAGGTGGTCGAAGGCGTTCACAGGTGGAGCAGACCAATCCTTGAACTGCTTTGATGACTGGACCTGGTACTTTGCCTTGATGTGCCAGGAGTCGTAGTAGTTCTGGAGCCGTGGGATGTCCCAAGTTGAGATGTAGTCGTGCTACAGAACGTCGAATGTGCTGCTCCACATCGCTGACATTTGGGAAGCTGATGTCAGCTGACATGCCCGGAATGACGGGTCTGTCTTCCTTGAGCTCGTTCTGCTTGGGGTCAGGCGTCTCGAGGCGGTGTCCATATCCAAACACTGCCACTCTGACCGCCTTGGAGAACTTCATCTTGGGGAATTCGATCTCGCCCAAATCTTCGATCTCGACGGCACGAGTACCATCAGCGTACTGTAAGAGAGCTGCTCGGGTGTAGTACTCGTCCACGTTGGGTGAAATTCTTCTTGCCGTCGGGGCATAGCATGCCTGAAGGCGAACTGCCTTGATGCGGAAGAGCTGTTGGATGGTCTTGCCCATCTCGGTGTCCAAGCCAATGTTGAAGGGCCGTTTTGCTCCCCTCTCATAAACATTGGTGATGTAGTCCACGATGTGGTCCCACAGTCCGAGGTCTTCTGTGGGATAGGCCATGGCATAGACCTGATGCAGTGGTGCTCCAAAACGATGAGGCTCACGTTGAAACACCAGAGATTTGAGCTCTTGCAAAATGCAATGACAAAGCTCGTCCGGGTACTGCTGGGATCTTCGAGTCATCGAGCCTTGGATAGGCTTGCAGTAGAGCCGCTGTGTTGGAGTGAGCCGCAGGTTGAGGGTCTGGTCAAAGCCTGGGAGGTTGCCCATCCATCTCATTGGCTTTGCGATCGGCTCGTTGTTAATCTCCGCGCCATAGGCTCCTGCATCAAGCACTGTGGACCAAATGCCTTCCAGATCTCTCAGCTGGCGGACATTGTCTTCCTCCCAAAGTCTCGACCTCAGGGGGTTCTCCAGCAGGAAGTATCGCCCGGCCTTGTACTGCATGAGCGCGATGTCCACTGCGAACTGGACCAAGATGCGCTCTTCATCTTGCAGGCTCTCAAGTAGTTCTTGACGGTGCGACCAGTTCAGGTTGATGTTGAACAAGTTCCAAAACCTGCAATCGACTCCCATAACGATGAGCCAGGGTTTGAACTGATCGACCTGTGCTTTGATCTTCTTCCTCATGGAGCCATTCTTGAAGTCCTGGCCGAAGAGGATATCCAGGGGCTGCAAGGTGTTCAGGTCATAGTGTGGAGCCAGGCGGCTCAAGTTGCAAGATCCGGCGAACAGCTCCCATAGGTCCACATGTGGTGGAGGTCGATCTCTCACGCTGGCGCCGCTGTTGTTGACCTTGTACTCCATCTCGAGGACCTGAGCGGCCTTCTTCCACTCACCTTTCAGCCTTTTCGCATGACCGGACTTCATGGATCCGGTACATGGTTGAGGCCCTGGACCATCTGGTTGAGCTCGTCGTCCACCAGACCCCAATCCATGCTCTCGTCCTCGGCCAGTCGCTCGTGGCGTTTGCGATCCGCCAACATCTCCAGCTTCTCCCGCTGCGGCTGGTAGGTCTCCTCGTTGAGGAAGATGTGCTCTGCCACCGTCGTAGGTTCTGCTTGCAGAGGGGACTCCTGCTCCAAGATCTGGAACAGCTCGTAGCGCCCCTGCTCGTCCAGGTGGTCTGTATGGAGGGCCGGTGTAGCCCAAGCGGAAGTTCGTCCATCCACTCAGCGGCGTCGAAGTAGGGTCCGTCCGCTCGTAGTCCCTGATGCGAGCTTGACGTTGTAGAGCCGCTGGCGCTGCCTTGAACTTGGGCTTGATCTTCTTTGGAGAGGCTCCCGAAGGAGGTGTGGCCTTCGATGACGGCTGAGGCAATGGCAATGGTGCTGAAGAGGAACTTGGAGAGCCATCGCCGCGGGAATACCAAATGTCCCAATCCCCCTTCTTGGTGTTCCATCTCCATTTTCTCAGGCACTGATTGCATCTCGCGAAGCGGCCATGGGCGTTGCCGTACCTCTTGATGTCCTTGTGCTCGCAAGAGTCCGGGTCGTGGCAAGGACTCAAAATCGGCGGAACTGCCGATTGGAGCCAATCTCTCGGCATCATGCCCAGCCGCACGCCCCCCATCATGTAGATCCAGATGTTCCTCCGGAAAGCGTCGAGAGCCGACACGATCCGCCTCCATCTCGCCAGCCATGGCGGAGGTGCTGTCCGCATGAGGAAGCGGGGGCCTCGAATTCAAGACCTCATGGGCTTTCGCCTCGTCTGTCATGGGCTTCGGCGGTGGAAGAACAAGTTCTGGATGTGGCCTTTCCCAACATGATGGTGACGAAAGCTGTTTCCAAACAAGTTCATGGCCAGGATGTTCATGGTTGGTGTCCAAAATGAAAACTGCAAAATGACCACACTTGACATGAAGTTCAACTGAACAATGCAATGCCGTGAAATGAACTGCACGATTCGGCAAATCGATCACTGACCCCAACTTGTCCAGGAGGGAGTTGCTACCCAACAAGGGAACACGCTCGGGCAAAACACCGGCACCGATGACCAAGGGGACATTGTTCAAATAGCTGGGGATGTAGGCCCTTGTAGTGGACTTGGTGGGATCTCCTTTGCCAAATTGGAAGAGGTCATACGAATCAATCTCCTTGGTCTTCAGGCCATACCCTATAGATCGGGTTAGGTTAAAAAACATGAGTTAGGTTATGTGAAAACAGAGGTTATGTTAACCTAGATAGTCTATTTTGTGAATAACCTAAAACATAGAACTTTAACCTAACCATAACCTAACCTTCTTTTAGAATAACCTAAGCTTATGTTTTCTAGCCTAGGTCTTTTGTGAAACAAACTTGGAGGTTTCTTTAAAAAAATCACTAACAATGTTTAAAACTTTGCACAGCTTGAGAGACTTGATGACAAGGACTGTCTTCACTGTAGAGTGTTCACTAAGGGATTTCTCTGAGGGTTTCACTGATCACTTACTTGAAAGAAACAAATACTTCAACCCGATTTCACTTGGAGAGTCTTCACTTGGACTAGAACAGTTTTGTTTGACAACTTTGGTTTGTGAGAGTTCACCTTGAAACTTCACTCTCTTCCCTTTCTCTTCTCCTTCTCTCTCTCTCTCTTTCTTTTTCTTCTTCTCTCTCTCTCTCTTTCTTTTTCTCCTTCTCTCTCTCTCATTCTTTTTCTCCTTCTCTCTCTCTCATTCTGTTGCTCCTTCTCTCTCTCTCATTCTTTTTCTCCTTATCTCTCTCTCTCTCTCTGTCTCTCTCTCTCTCTCTCTC